GGCGGCGCGGGGGCTGCCCGGCGGGGCGGGCGGTCCCGTCCCCGCTGCCCGCGGCCCGTCCCCGCTCCCCGCGGCCGGGCTGCGCCGTGTGGCAGCGCCTCTGTCAATCAGCCTGACTTCACTCCGCACGCCCTGTGCTTCCAGTACTATACCCCCGCCGCCTCCTGGTGTCTCTGCTTCGCTGCGAGCCGGGAGCGCGGCCGCCACTGCCGCTGCGGCTGCGGCTGGGCGAATGCGCGGGCGGCGGGGCGCGGGGCAGCGCTGAGCGGCGCGGAGCAGCGCGGAGCGGGTTTTTAAGTACGAGAAGCTGCTCAATATGGGAACTTTGATTTCAAATGTAGAGGGCCAGCCCCTCTCCCTTTCAAGTTTATGTGCAGAAGTTATTTCAATTTGAGCAGGATTGGATGGATGAAACATAAAAAAAGCCACATCATCATCTTAAAATACAAGTCCAATAAAAATGAAGTTGGAACTTTACCAGCTGTGTACTGATGAAAGCATATAAGATTTTAAGTACGAGTTTTAAGTACGAGAAGCTGCTCAAGATGGACCCAAACCCAAACCAAAAAAAAAAAAAAAAAAAAAAAAAAGAAGCCAACATAAAAACAAACCAAAAGCCAAAAGGAAGAACGGGTGCAGACAGCAATTCCAAATAGGGATCATTTGAAAATATAAGAAAAGGGATGTTTGAATGTAATGTACAAGTTGATCTACCTCATCATTCAGAATAATCTTTCCCTTTTTGTCCTTAACCTAAAGAATTGGAAAGCCAAACCAGAGCATCAAACCAAGCAAGCAGAAATCATATACTGCCACAACTGATTGGGGTTGGGGTCCATAAGACCTCCTCATGGGCAGGGAGCAGGACTGGCTTGCTGTTATTTTTCTTCTATACCCTTCATTTCTATCCATAATATAGGGGTGGAAGGTAATAGCTGGACCCTTAGTCATAAAGGAGCAAGAATATTCAAGGATACCCAGGAAAATTCCTTGGCAGAAGACCAGCTTCCTGCAGGAAGCCATTGCCTGCAGCTTTCCAGAGAGTCTAAGACATGCAGATACAGTGAGAATCAGCCTGGGGTAGGTAGGGCTGTGGGCTGGCAGGGCCAGCAGGAGCACTAGAAGGGCTAATAGGATTCTGCAAGGTTAAAGCGGTGAAAGCAGCAGATGATCCCAGTAATGTAAAAGCTGAGTAAATATACACATTATTTGAAGGGAATAAGCAGTATGGCATTTATCCTGGCCATATGGAAACAAATATAACTTGTTTTTTACCATAAAGGCCACTCTTGATTTTTAATTATTTAAAAATCCTTCTTCTATATTGTATTTATAGTATTCCTAAAGACTTTCAGGGTCTATCTCTCCAGTTGCAGATATTTAATATAAGATTGCAGGAAGCAATTTCAGTCTTATTAGCAAATAGCCCTAACAATTTTTCCTGTGAAATGGCTGCTTAGAGTAATTTATTGGATCAGATGAAGATCTCTGACCGTGATTTGCCTCTGCTGCTGGCACTTTTTCCATTTGGGTCCCTGCTGTCAACTGGAAACCAAGACTGCAACACAACTCATGCCGAGGTGCCTTAAGTTTGTCAGCCTCGTCTGTCTCTGGTCGTTTCCATATGGACGCACAGCCGGGACGGCGCAGCCCGCTGGCCTCGTTAGCGGGACGCTGCCCCAGCTCCCGGGGGCTCCCGAGCCCGGCACGGGGCGTTTCTTTTCGCCTCCACACGCGTTCTGCCAACTCCCGTCCCCGCCGGCGGGCCCGTCCCGGCGCGGGGCGCGGCGCGGGGCGGGCGCTGCCGG